CACTGGATCGTCGCGATCCAGGGCGTTTCTTCAAAGTTGGTGAGGACGGTTTGTCAAGAGGAGCGACTGAAGGTGGCATGCCGTCCTCCCTTGAAGACCCTCTTGCAAACCTCTGGCGCTATTTCGACCCCAGACAAAATAATATTGCGATCGCTAGTGAAACCGCCGCAGCGAGATTCTTCATTCGTGGAGATTTGGGGTTGTTATTGTTGATTTTGGGTTTGATTTTGATTACCTTAGTACTTTAGTGTGTAGTGCAAAGTGAAAGGCTTTAGTCGGGAAATGACGTAGAGGGCAGCAGATCTTAAGGCAATCCGGCAGGCCAAAATAGACGACAATTGATGAATAAAAATCAATAAATAAATAAATACAAAGTTCAAAATTGAAATCAAGCTGGAGGGATGTGTTTTCTTTCCTCTGTTATTATTCTGACTAAGACTTTTAATTCTTCGAAGAATTCAAGAAGAAGTGAAAATTTTAAGTGGAAGGGGAGGGGAGGGAGGGGGGGGGAGAAAATGAATAATAATCAGGGCAGAATCTATTTCGAGTATTTCTAGAAGGTTGAATGTATGGTGGTGGTGGTAGTGGTGGTAGTGGTAGTGGTGGTAGTGGTGGTGGTACCCAAAAAAGATTGATTGAAAGGGCACAGATGGGATGATGAGATGAGATGGGATGGATGGATGGGATGGATGGGATGCAATGGAATGCTTCTCCTCTGAGTGTATACCTACTAGGGAGATAGATAGGTAGGTCCTCTGTCTCTGTACAAGGAATCACACATCGTAGGGATAAATAATAACCAGGAAATTGATTCTATTGGGTCAAACTCGTTTTTTAACAAGTTGTATGTAAACAAGGTTGGGTGAATGGATCATGGGTGTAGTATATAACACACGCAGTAGGTAATTATTAGTCCATGGACTAACCTAACATATCGCTCTTTCCCAAATCCCTAGTAATGGCATCCCACTTGATTTCTACACTCTGCACTCCGTATACCATAGATTGAGCCTTTACTATCAAGCTTCGAGGTAAGGAAGAAGCTGGTCTGTCGCTAGCAATTTGATGAGAAAGCTGGCAAGTACATATATGTGGGAGATGAACTAAAGAAGGTTCGATTTTCCGTGCAGGTCATCCATCATACATGAATGAAGTGTCAAGATTACTTTGTGTTACATGTCTTCCTTTTTTTTTTCTTACAGCTGGTGCAGAGTGGTGCAGGAAAACCCACAAAATCCCTTGTACACGAGACCGTTGGAAAATGGAAACATAAGACGGGAACAGTGGGGACCTTGTATGTAGGGTATTGCTTCTAGATGTTTTGAAGCTTTTTGCTAGCCTTTGAGAGTTTGAAGAATGATTCAGAATTTCAGATTTCCGGAATTTTAGGCTCTCAGGCTTTGGAGAGATGGTTCATGATTGGAGTCGACGTATTCGGATCTGAGGAATGGTCTGTATACGGAGTTCGGGATAAATGCAATGGAAAGTTCCTGGGAGTTCTGTTTCACATTATGTGTGAATCGAGACTGGATGTTGAAAAAGGACTTGTTGAACAAACAACAAACATCCATCTGGACCAATCTCGTGCTTGAATCTTTGGATTATTGATTCGGATACCTAGAAGTATATATGTGAAGAATGAAGAATGAAGAATGAAGAATGAAGAATGCCGGCTATCGAGTGTTGAATAGCGTTGGATAGCGTTGAATAGCGTTGAATAGCATTGGATAGCATTGGATAGCATTGGATAGCATCGAATACCATTGAATAGCATCGAATACCATTGAATACCGGTACCTCGCAGTTTCATCGATTTTCCCATTGTTCCTCTGAATGCTTTGAATTCTCCCAGGGAAGTAATTCGATAGCTCAATTTGCTCAGTTATCTGCTACCTACCTACTTTGCTACTACTCTACTACTCTACTACGCTACTACTCTACTACTCTACTACTCGACTACTCCATAAGTACTGAACACCAACGCACTCATACTTCATCAATCCCCCTGTGTTTCAAGTCTTCACATCTCAGTCGTAAGCAAGCACATAGGGTTTATCGAAAGAACAGCATACATGTGCCAAGCATGCGTAGTGATGGCAACATAAATGCTTTCCTTCTCCGGACCAGGTATATCACACACACACCCTAATAAATAATGGCGTGTCAATGACCACTTCGCACTTGAATATGACCAAAGGGGGAAATGCGGCACACCAAGAAAGAATCTGTCAGAGTTCTCATTGACTGACGACGGATGGATGGATGGATGGAAAAATGAATCGAAAATTCAATTCCACATTCGGTGATAACGAGCGCGGATAGAGAAGTTTTGTGGATCGTAAATTTCCACATGGCATGTTTTTCCATCACACGCTTCGCATTTCTACAGAGATATCCCTTGAAAGAGCCTCATAGGGCGGTGGGACGAATACGGAGTTATGTGCTAGCCTACCACTAGTTACCTGCTGGTATGGTACCGGCAAGTATTGTGATTGTCGCCGGGTCAGTGTTGTGTAATGTATGGTATACCACTGTATGGTATGTGTATAACATTTCGGTGATCTGTTGAAGATTCCTTTCTTGTGTTATGATCACTCTTTGGGGAAGGGCATCGCCTGTCGAACCAAGAAAATATTGCTTTTGGCATTAGTCATCGTGAAGCCTACCCACCTATTAGTATTATGTGTTCTTTACACGATACCTGGACGTTTCTCTTCTGCCACACCGGTTTATCGTAGGGGCAGCGCATAGACATGTATATCTATCGTCTTCGCAGGACAAATGTTATAATGCGATCCATGCAATGCATTGCGATCAATACACACACACACACACATACAGAGAAGAAAAAAATCACAAATGAAGAAGGGGGAAAAAATGCGCGGAAGGGTTCTCTCCCGTTCACGCCAATAATACATCAAAATCCCAAAAAGGACCCTGAAAAAGGAACTCTGACGAAAGGAGCTGCACGATGACTTCACATGTCTTACCTTAGTCTGCACATGAACCAATGAAAGCGATTCCCGCGCGCACTCCCCTGGAAATGGGTGGAGTCGAAGGTATTGCACAGGAAGCCAAAAAGACCTGAGGTGGTGAGGTAAGGCATGGCAAGGTTGGATTGGGTGGTTATGCAATTGTGCTTCGCTTGCTAGGTAGTAATGAATAGATGAACGGATAAAGGCGAATTTAATATAAATTTTCATTTTCCCTTAGGAATTGGTCTGATACGATACCTGGTATCTACATCGTAGTATCTAGTCTCTAGTCTCTAGTCTCTAGTGTTACACATATACATCCATCCATAAGGATCCTCCGTATCTATCTGCTCCGTACCCTACCGACGATAGAAGCTTTCCACCTTCTCTGCCTGCTCATGCGTCAATGCCCGGTATTCAGGTGTATTATTGCGCGTGAGTGGGGATTCCTTACACACAATCACTAGTACATGGTGTTAAATTATCATGAAAGCAGGAAGATAAGCCTCCACCTGCCGACCGGAAAGGAAGAGTCAAGCCATTTCCAAGCGTTCCCATTGTCAATCCTCTGTAAAGGGAAGGAATTTTCAGATCTTTTTCCGCTTCCAGATTACTCAGGGGCTTTCGATGAACGTTCAAATTTCCAAAAAGTCAAATCAAATCCGATCGATCGATTCAACAATCTACAAAGCAAGTCAATTGATTGAGTGATGGATGGATGGATGGATGATTCACATTCGATGAAATGAAATGGAGAAGCACGCACGCACGCACGGTATGCAGAGGAAGAAAACACAATAACGAGGCTGTCGTCAATTCTATTATATCAAGGTCTACCTTGGGAACCTGCCTGCGAATACTCGTACGATCGTGTACACACCACGCGCCAAGTGCCTAGTATATGAAGACAATCAATCCCGAATGAATGCCGTGTCATTAATTTGATAGGGAGGTAATTGTCTTTAAGAACGCTTTAGCCGCAGGGAACAAGACACGGTGTATGTATGTGATGTATATTATGTATATTTATGTATATATTTAGATGTTGATATATAAAGTGGTTGGTGTCTGTCTCACCACAAAAGTAAACACATGATTTCCCGGGATTCGAAGATTGCGATGAGGGAAAAGCACAGGACTCCTTCCTTGTATGTCAAGATTGTTAAGGCTGGCGATGAAGATGACTCGGTTTGTATCACGAGATTGCTCAAAGGACAATGGGTAGGTAATAATAACATACTTACACTGTACCTACCCGCTAGGTAGCTATCTACATAAGATTGGAGTCAAGATCAAGTCCAACTTCATTTCCTGCATCTTCCGTCCACCGACGCCAGTAATTATTACAACGTCGGAAGCCTTATGATATCTTACTTATTTTCGGGATTAGTCGGCTTTACGAATCGCCGGTCATGATTCACAAAGAAAGGGCTAAGGATGAACTTGATAGGAGTTTGTCGGTGTTGATGAAAAGGTTTCTCAAGTTCTCCAATCACCGGTGAACCATGGATGAGATTTGATTCCATACAAATCAAGCATTGGACGACATGTCTTGCCAAGGCTTTGCTCGGATCTATCCCCCGGCTCTTCCTTTCCTCATTGAGCTGTTTCAAGGTCCCGATAAGGAAAGAAGCTCTCCCCGCTTTCTTGTGTTCTGCATTGATTCCCCTTCCCTTCCCCTTCCCCTTCCCCAGCCATTCCATATCGTAAACACTCTCTATAACAATCAGCATCGAGCATTCACCCTTTTGTTCGACCTTACTTCTTCTCTTTTGGACAATTTGAATCCTTCTGGAGGGTTTGTTATCCATCGTAACAATCTCCGACGATCTGGCACGCAGGCAAAAGAAGACTGCTGCAAGACCAAGATCTTATCCGCAACGTCTTCCTCTTCATTCGACTCTTCCACCTTCATCAATTCTAATCCCAAGAATACGAGCAAAAACTAAAGCCAAGAATACATTCGCAAATTTTGTGATTCCCCTGGCTGGGCTTTTAACCGCGGTATCGACGCGTCTATACGATATGGGTGCCTCTACCAAGAAGCCGCATGCACAAGGACATGTTGGCGTAGCAGAACGAGTATTAAATATGTGCTCTCCTTCGCCGAGACAAGCAAACGATGAGGATTCAGAAGAGGCGCCACTCCTTCGAAAGGAGGCCAGTAGTTCCGAGCACTCATCTTATTCGACTTCTGACTCATGGAAAGCCAAAAGTCAGAAAGCAAAATTGAGATGGTTCGTTCAAAGTACTATGGGGGTTGTGGGTGTTTTATTGGTAACGATTATAATTGTTACCGCTTCCCTCTTCTTCACCGGTATGAATGTTTTCATCCCCCTCAAGCACCATTGCCTTGCTCTCGTCCAACCCTATAATACATGAATGCCCCCAATTCTACCTTCTTGTGGAACTATTCTTTGAGGAGACGCGATCACTAACATTGATATCTACGCCTAGTTCGTTCGCCTTCAAAGCAAATCCTTCAGCAAAGCACATGCGACTCCGCAGCATGCGTTCATGCCGCTTCCGAAATTCTAAACAACCTTTCTCCCAGATATACAGAGCTTGATGCGTGTTCGAATTTCGAAGAACTGGTCTGTGGTGGGTGGAGAGATCATCATGATTTGAGACCTGACCAAGGTGATGCCTTTACAGGAACAATCATGAGCGAGAATTCACAAACTTTGTTGAGGCACATACTTGAAGGAGATTATCCCAAAGAATCTAAAGTGAGCATGCTCCGACACTAGCCATGTAACGTAACTAATTGTATGATAGCACTCGAGCTTCTCTCCCGCCATGTTATCATCATCTCCCGCTTCCCTGGACGAAGAGAATTTTGATAAGCTCAAGGCAGGCTATAATGCATGCATGAATGAAACCAAGATTAAGACTGTCGGCATCGCTCCTTTACAAGAAATTACGCAGCAAGTAACAGATATGTTTTCGGTTAGAGACTATAAGCACTTGCTCATGAAGTCAGAGGACTATAGCAGTCTTACAGAAACTATTGAATACATGGCTAAATTGGGATCTTCGGCGCTTATATCATCTGGTACCGGACCTGACGACAAAGACCCCGACACCGTCATCGTTCAGGTAGCACCGCCTTACAGAATCGGCCTCCCATCGAAGGAGTATTACGACAATGAAAAGGTAGTAAACGACTATACTCAGACTATTGCGCAAGTCATCCCCAAGTTTCTACCAGAGCATCAAAACAGTAAGGGGCTTGATCGTAACAACATTGCTGCACAAGACAAAGCAACAGACCTTGCCCGTGATGTAGTTGCTCTCGAGAAGAAACTAGCTGCTGCTTCTCCAAACAATGAAGATAGAGACGATGTCACAAAAACCTACAACCCAATGTCCCTCCAAGAGGCTGACAAACTGACTCCTCAAATTCATCTATCCAAAATAATTCACAGTCTAATTCCTGCGGATGTTCAACTCGATCGATTGATCATTGCATCGCCAAGTTACATGCAAGCATTATCAGAAGTGCTAAAAACTACCCCAAAGGAAACGTTACAAACATACTTCGTATGGAAGCTTATTCAGACATTCTATACAGAGATTGAAGCAGATGAATTAAAGCCATATCGAAAATTCATCAATGAGCTTCAAGGAAAGGATGCGGATTCTCAACCGGAACGATGGAGAACTTGTGTATCGCATGTTGATGATGGACTCGGCTGGATTTTGAGTCGATTCTTCGTAGAGAAGGCCTTTTCGGCTGATGCCAAGGACTTTGGGGATCAAATTGTCTCTGATATCAAAGAGATGTTCATTGAAAAACTCAAGGCAACTACATGGATGGATGCTAGTGTCATTGACTTGGGCATTGAGAAAGTACACAAAATCGTTCAGAAGATCGGATATCCTACACAGGTATGCTTAATGTCTAAAATGAGGATGAAAGAATTTATATACTGATGAATGGAACAGAGCCCAGATATCATGGATCCCGAGAACCTTCACAGTTACTACCAATCTGTTCAAGTATCGGATTCGGCTTATTTCAAGAACTCCTTGAATATGAGACGATTTGATATTGCTCGTGAATGGTCAAGTCTGGGAAAGCCAGTCGATAGAAATGAATGGGGTATGACGGTACCAACAGTGAATGCTTATTATAACCCGCCTGGAAACGAAATTGTTTTCCCAGCCGGTATCATGCAATTTCCAGTTTTCGACGTAGCCGTTCCTCAGTATCTTAGTTACGGTGCTTTCGGAGCTGTTTCTGGACACGAATTATCTCATGCATTTGATTCTACAGGTCGTCATTATGATCAAAATGGCAACTACACGGATTGGTGGACACCATCTACTGTAGCTGCATTCAAAGAGCGTGCTCAATGTTTCATTGATCAATATGGCAACTACAGTATTCCCGGCCCAGACGACAAACCTCTTTACGTCAATGGCAAGCTCACCTTGGGAGAGAATATCGCAGATGCTGGAGGACTTTCTGCTTCTTTCGCTGCATGGAAGAAACGTCAAGGGGAGAGTAATGAGAAGAATCAAAATCTTCCAGGATTATCAGAACATTTCTCACAAGATCAATTGTTCTTTGTTAGTTATGCTAACTGGTGGTGTGGAAAGACGACGAAGGAAACGGCAATTAATAGACTCTATACCGATCCGCATGCACCAAAGTGGGCAAGGGTATTGGGTACCATGGCTAATAGTCGAGAATTCAAGGAGGCTTTTAGTTGTAAGGAGAAGGAACCAGTTTGTGAGTTGTGGTAGGCGAATTTGGGAACATTGATTTTTTGATGGGATGATTGAAATGGGTGTTGGATTGTAGGAGTTGTATTATGGAATCGGATGGACAGATTGTGTATTGGTACATGTGTATGCTTATGATATGGATATTGGGGGAATGTGATTTGATTGGAATGGAATTAGGATTGGGATAGGTAACAAAGAGGGGTAGGGTCATTGGATGAGGATTGCACATGTATGAATATATTATATGCACAGGAATTGAGGTATTATTGTTTATTACTGCGATATTTGTATTTGTGAATGTGAATGTGTTGGTAGGGATTTGTGTTTGTTGTATTGATAGTAGCAGGTAGATGTCAGATAGATAGAGGGTGTCACTATTGGAGAATTCTGAGGTAGAAAATGAGTTTATTGTTTTTTTTCTTGTTTTTGTCTGAGTGAGCGGGTTGTCAGTGTTGGATTGTAGTGTGATGGTACGTATCGGAAGGATCATTCACGTTGACGTTAGAGTTATTTATCCAGTGTAGAGATGTATCGCTCATAGTTGGGATCTGTAATCTCTAGACATAGTCTCTACTCCTTGGCGGATAGACGCGGAGGGTTCCCACGCAGGTAGGTGGTAGGGAGGGGGTCTCTCGCAGCACCAGCACAACTAATTTGAGAAGAGGAATTGTGAATTTTGAATTTTGAATTTTGAATTTTCAATTTTCAATTTTGAATTTTGAATTTTGAAGGGCTTTGGATTGGATTGGATTGGATTGGATTGGATTGGATTGGATTGGATTGGATTGGATTGGATTGGATTGGATTGGATTGGATAGTACGTAGTATGTAGTATAGAGTATAGAGTATCAATAAAGAAAGAACATATGTAATTTCTTTTCTTTTCTTTCTTTTCTTTTCTTTCTTTTCGGGGATACGACTTGTTTGAGGATACGACTTCACACCGTTCTATTTACGATCTGGAGTATGGAGTGTTATTGGTGGGGGGTTTTGGGGTCTTACGGGATAGGAGATCGGGGATCGGGGGTCGGGGATTTGTATGCAAGCTACCGGTAGTGAGGACTTCGCATCGATCGGCCTTGGTTCTGCGGAGCGGTGTTGTGAGATTTGGTGGGAATTGGGAGTTGGGAATGTGATGGTGATGGTGATGGTGATGGTGATAGGAATGTATGCATCATGTCATCTCCTTCTCTTTTATTTTTCGAAATGCCAGGTTTTATTGATTAACGTATATATATATACATACATACATACATACATACATACATACATACATACATACATACATACATACATACATACATACATACATACATACATACATACACTTCCCCCCTCTTCCCTCGTCTTCCCTCATCTTTCGAAATTAAATTGCTAATTGCAATTATTTATACATATATCTACATTTATCTCTTAATCCTTCCATTCCTAATACTCTAATAGTATTATACTTATCTTTGGGAGAGGGAAAAAAGGGGACGGGGAGAGAAAAGGGAGGGGAATTAAGATGTATGTATGTATATATGTACGAGTAGGAGAAGCGAGATGACGGGGAAGTGAGATAGGGGAGGGATGAGGATGAATAGGATGGAATGGGAGGAGTGGGAAAGGGGAAGTGAGATGGAGAAGCGAGAGGAAGAGGAATGGAAAAGAGAAAGGATGAGAAAGTGGAGGGGGGGAAAGAGGAAGAAGGTGAAGGAGATGGGGGAGAGAAGGGTTAGAATGAGAGGGAAAAGTGGAAAGTAGAAAGGGACACTGGAGAATAGAGAAAGAGAAATGAAATGAAACAAAATAAACAAAAGAAGAGACGAGAGAGCTATTTTGACGCCTAAACCTAAATAATGAAAAGTATCCAGCAACTTGCTAAAGTCCAGTACAGTATCCTCGAGGCTAGTGCATTGATCGAATACGTGATTGTGAGAAATCATATTGCTTTAAATAAATGAGTTGAGAATGAATCGAGTTATCAAGTTCCTAATCCGAGATTTGGATTCATTTTAAACACATCTGCTTTCAAACACAAATTATAATCCATTCGCCATCCATTCGCCATCCAAACGCCACCAAAAGCCGATATCCCCAAAATCATCATCGTCGTGTACTCGTGCATATATACCATGACACGCAAATCATTACACACCTTCTCCTGTCCCTGTCCTCACCTGAAATTCCCGAATAATCGAGAATACCATATCCATCTCCTTGCTAAAACAAGAGATATTCCTCTGTCAAAGCATTTCAATATCTAGAAGATCCCAAGCCTAACTTCTGTTTCTTAATTCGTGGAATGATTCCAATCAATACCAATACCGCACAAACAATAACTGCCCAGCTCTTAATATGCAATGCGTTAACATTGAAAGGTGTCCATGTCGCCGCAGCAATTGTAGCAAGCATTAGGAGAAGAACGAGGTATCCACTCAATCGATGATATTTATAGATGGACTTTGCGGTTGAGATATCACCGTATAAAGAGGGAGTAAAGTATTGTGTGAAGCCGACTAGAGATTGAATTAAGAGGAGTATATAAGTTATCAAACCCACTAAAATCATTAGTATATTTTCAGCTCCAAGATCTGATTAAAAATACATACGAATAGCATGAGCTGATTCAAAATGTGTTCCATTGTGTGCGAATTTATTGACTTCGATAACGACGAGACCAGCGATTAGGAGACTACTAGCTAATGCATTTATTCCCGCGTGTGCAATTGTACCCTGACGTTTCTGTGTAGCGGTATGTGTGGGTTGGAGAATGAGAATTCCTTGGGTAAGAACCAAGAGGGCGGCAGAATTGAGTAGAGGGTGTGCTGAGAAGAGCATTAATGGGTAGAGAAATATGCTAGCCCAGATGTGAGCTACGAGGAGGAGAAGTCCGACTTGAGTTATGATTGCTGTACCTATTTGAGAAATGGTGTTAATTATCGTTATGTTTTGAATTGAGCGTTGTGAGAGGTTGAATTACCAAGAGCAAGATTCCAATAGAGTGGACGACCTTCTTGTTGTGATGCATCGCCGGCTCTTCCGATTAAAGGCTCATCTTCCCCATAACCAGCTTCATAAGGATCTGGAAGTTCTCCTGAAGTTACTCGAGGATTTTGTGGTATTCCTGTTGCGGACGCCATATTATTGATATTCTGAAGTAGAATGGACCTTCTCAAATGCTTGATGTGTGGATTTCAGACTGAGATTGAGATGGAAAACGAAAACGAAAATGAAAATAGATGAAAGATGAAAGATAATCTTGTACGATATTCGTCCTACCTATATGAATACCTGGTACTTATCAGATCCAAGGCAGCATCAAATAATATACATTACATGGATTTAGATCGTCAACTTGTGTGTAGTACGATTAAAAGTAGTATAATGGCGTCAATGAATTTGAATTGCGGAGAGGGTGAACCAATCATTGAGCTTGCTTCTGTAAGCACTTTCTATGTTGAGACATTGAGACATTTCCATCCGTACATCACGGAGTCCGGTCGCATATTGCGCAATGATGATTGCTCAGTCAGGTGTCTAGTTGTCATTGAAATACGAGGATGGAGTAAAAGTAGATAAGGGGAAGCATGGGAAATGTTATACATGTAGTATATCTTCATTATATCAATCTACCTAGTAGGTATGAAGAGAAGAGAAGAGGAGAGGAGAGGAGAGGAGAGAAAAGAAGAGAAGTAAAGAGAAGTGAAATGAGATGAGATGAGATGAGATGAGATGAGCTGAAGAAGGACACAATGATATATAATAAACTAGCAGGTAGTAATTCTGGAGGTGAAGATGTCAATCTAGAATGAAGCATCTTTACTCTCATCGTTCAAAGTTTCCAAGCTGTCGCTCAAACAGAAAAGTACTGTGGTCCATATATATGATGAATATCATCACATGATTCTCAAAGATATTTGGAAAAGTACAACACTGTCGATACGATATTCACATTCCAACATTTTATCGGATTCCATTCAGATTAAAGAGCAACAAGATTAAAGATGGATAAATGTTCTTGCTTGATAGCGGGGCTTATCGGAGGACTTATCGGAGGACACCGATATAGGAAAATAGTATTATTACTCGATGGAAATTGTAAATTTCCAATATCATTCAAAACTCTCTTTTATTTAGTTTTTCTTCTTGTTGTTCCTTTTCTTCTTCTCTGCTCTCTTCCTCAAATTACTTTTCTGACATCCTTCGTCGTGAAATCTCTTCTTCAATACCCAATTCAATATGACTTTCGAAACCGAATACAAGACGGAAGATGTTGCTGCAACTTTGGTGCCATCGGATGAGATCGATACTACTTTCCGTTCCTCATGTATTGGTAAGTGATACTTTATCGTGTGTTGCGTGGCTTGAGACATGAACGGTTTGGAGTTTCACAAGCCATAGATCACTCAACGATAGAAGCATAAGAGCATGAGAGGAAACTCTTGATTCTTTCAGTGGACGACATCTACAACTCTATAACGAACATCTCAAGTGAGAGTCAACTTCTGCTGTCAGAAAATGCCCTCACCATGTGCTCAAAGTTTTCTCAAAGTCATCCAACACATCCATATCAAACATTTGACTAACCATTCATTCTAGATCTGATATCTGGAAGTCTTGGTGGAAAAGTACTTTCATTCTCAGATGAATGGTTTGCGGAAGCAAATAATCTTCTCACTCCTACCCCGCCCATCAGACAACCAGGAAAGATGGTATATACTGGTGCCTGGTATGATGGATGGGAAACACGTCGACATAACACTGAACCCTTTGATTATGTTGTAATTCGTCTCGGGGTTGCTTCCGGAACAGTTGAGGGAATTGAAGTTGACACAGCTTTCTTCTCTGGAAATAATGCACCTGCTATTTCCGTCGAGGGTGTGTTTAGTGACAATGACGAAGAAGTCATTGGATGGAAAGGCGGTCGAGGAAAATGGGAAACAATTCTTGGTCTGCAAGAGTGTGGTCCTTCTCAAAGATTCGGATGGAAACTTGCCGTTCCAACCACAAAAGCGTACACGCACGTGAGGCTCAACATGTACCCAGATGGTGGAATTGCTCGATTTAGACTCTTTGGTCATGCCATACCTGTTTTCCCAGAAGATAAGAATGCCATCTTTGATTTGGCTGCCGCTCAAAATGGAGGAGTTGCTGTTTCTTGTAGCGATCAGCACTTTGGAGTTATCGCCAACCTTATATTACCCGGACGTGGAAAGGATATGGGAGATGGTTGGGAAACCAAGAGATCCAGAGGAAAAGATCATGTGGATTGGGCTATCATCCGATTAGGAGCACCAGGATCCATCGAGAACTTGATTGTTGATACAGCATTCTTCAGGGGCAACTTTCCTCAAAAAGTAAAGGTTGAGGCTGTAAACTGGAATGGCGAAGGAGAGCCAGATTGTTCAGCTGAAGGATGGACTGCAGTTGTTGAGCCCAGTAAGACCAGTGCTGATAAGGAGCATGAATTTGAATCCTTGGTGAAGGATAAAACCTTTACACATGTCAAGCTAGTCATGATTCCTGATGGAGGAGTGAAGAGAATTAGGGTTCTAGGAAAGAGAAGTGTTTAAGTGAATGAGTAGAGGCATAATAGAAATATTCGAAGTCCTATGCTGTCACACAAAGTTTTACTCGCTTCGATGACTTTCATCTCTTCAATAGGACGGAAACTTTGTCGCAAAGCAGTACTAGGTAGTTTGTAAACTTTGAACATGATATCTTCTTCTCTCTGACATGATGATAAGCAACTGACAGTTTGCAATCACCTGCCTTACATATATTGGAAGTCATAGAAAGATTCTACATGTAAACATTGAATTACATATCACTTTGGCAGAAAACAAAATAAGGCTGAATGCTGCCCAGCCGAGCCAGCCTGCATCCTTCATGGTGAAACCTTGTAAACGCTTGGACCAACTTCCAAGATGACTTCTATTATGCGACCCTTCAATCAAACATGCCCCGGCTCCGACATCATAATAAATGCAAGAAAGTCCAAGTTACAACTTACCACAGCAGCTTCCCTGTGGAACCAACAACAGTTCCAAAATCTGTTACACCTCCTTGAATGATCAGATCTGCAGGAAACAAATTCAATTCTCATAAGGTTACAACAGATGTGTACAGGTTGCATGCAGTCTTTCTGCTGTTGTGATGGACATCGAGGACCATAATGGTGATATAGGTGGATTTGGGGAGGAGAGGGCAAAACCAAGACCACTGCCTGATGATTTGCCCAAGTCACTTGATGATCGAAAAAATGTATCGGCAGAGTATGCACCTGAGACCGAGATGTATGATGCATGGCAAGGTATGACAATTCAATGTAGGAGGGACAAAATCAACCAGCTAACATCTTTAGGACAATCGCAATTCTTAACAAATCCTGTTCTTGCTAAACCACTTGAGTTCAAGAATCTCTCACTTGGAACTGACGAATTCGAAGATGATATTACAAAACAAAAGATAGGGGAGAGTGACAACAGACTCATGGAAATGTTGGCCGCTCAAGCAGCACATCGGGATGGCTCAGCTAGTGAGGATGAAGATGCTGTCGCTACCGATGAGAAGCTTTCACTCGAAGAGAAGAAGGATATATTACAAAAGGCTTTGAATATGGCAGCTAGTAATGGAGATGTTGATCGCATAGAGAGGATTCTTCAAGGTAAAGCAAAAGACCTTGTTGATTTGGATGCGCCGGATGAAGAAGGTACAGCGCCATTAATATACGCAAGTTGTTTTGTAAGTTCTGGCCACGTTTGCCGTATTTCTTAAAGCAACTAACGAATGCGCAGGGTCATGAAGCCGTTGTAACAGCACTGTTAGATGCTGGCGCCGATGTCGACAAACAAGATCGAAATCAATGGAGTGCTTTGATGTGGGCAATGACAAATCGGCATAAGGGTATAGCGAAAGCACTTCTAGATAGTGGCGCATCTAGGGATGTCAAATCATCGACGGGTAGAACAGCATTCGACTTTATCGCTCCAGATAGTGAAATTGCCGATTACCTACAAGATGGCGGTTATCATATTGGCAATGCTGGAGTAACGGACGACTTTTACAATCCTGGATTCTCCCAAGATCGATTCGAGGAGGAAATGGCGGAGAATGAGATGAGGCGGCGAATGATGATGGAGAGTGCTAGAGATTTAGAGGTTGACTTGGGTAATATGGGTATTGATGATCAACCTGAGTCACCAGAGGAGTTAGAAGAAGAAGGGCAAGATTTCGATTGGAGTCGATGTTTACATGATCAAATGTTCGTGTTCCAAGAAAGTGAACTTGGTCGAATCTTGGATATTATCATCACCAACATGTCTCCTCAACGATCACCGTCTCAAAAACCTGTGCCGGCCAACATGATTTTCCTCAGCGCCAGGTATGCTCATTATCATGCAAGTCATGATCTTCTGGCCAAACTCCTCATTAGCGCAATGGATAAGATCAATGATGTGGTTGAAACACATCAATGGGACATGACGATATTGGCTTTCTGGATTTCGAATGCTACATTGTTATTACATTATCTGAAGAAAGATGCTGGGTTATCCGAGTCAACATCCGAATTTCAACTTCAGCTTGCGGAATTGATCAATGAGATATTTATCTTGATTATTCGAGATGCTGAAAGGAGAATGGATAAAGTCCTTGATTCTGCCATGTTAGAACATGAAACCATTCCAGGATTCGAAGACGTCACATTTCAGAATGAATGGAAGCTCTTCAAGAGAAAAGCGACTGTCAAAGAAGTGCCGATTGAAAAAAGATTCCGGCCACCTTCTCCAAAGGCAAGGGCTAAACCGTCACCTCGCAATGTCACATCTTTATTATCCTCGACTCTTTTTGTATTGGATCTCTATGACATACATTCTGTCATTACTTCTCAAATATTGGCGCAACTATTGTACTGGCTTGGAGCCGAACTTTTCAATCGTATCATGTCTAATCGAAAATACCTAGCACGAACCAAGGCAATGCAAATACGCATGAATGTATCTAGTCTGGAAGAATGGGCGCGAACGAACAATCGACAACCTGAGCATTATGAACATGGTTCTATGACTTCTAGTGGAGAAATGACTGTTGAAGCAACGCGGCGACATCTCGCACCTTTGGTTCAATTACTACAATGGTTACAATGTTTCTCCTCTTTGGGGCAAGATGATTTGGAAGCGTTAGTTGGAACATTACAACAACTCACGCGACTTACACCTCAACAACTAATACATTCGGTAAAACATTATCGAGCCGAAGTTGGAGAAAAGGGTTTACCAAAGAGTGCCATGAACTATTTAGTCAATCTACAAGAAGAGCATAGATTAAGAAAAGAGCGTCAAAAACGCACTTCTCAAGGTCTACGCATGAGTGCGCCATCCACACCAGCTAGAAAGGGAAGTAGCAAACCCTTACCTGATACCCCTGATTCGAACGGTCGTGGTGGAAAACCTCAATCTCTAGATGATGAATCGTTTGAGGAAGATGACGATGCACCTGAAAATCTACTTTTAGATCCAGCTCTTATGCTTCCATTCTCATTACCCTCGAGTACGGATATGTTGATTAGTTATGGAGCGGGATTTGGGGGGGTGAATAGAGAGAGAGAAAGGAAATACATACCGACTGTCCCTCCGGAATTTTTGGCAAAGTTGGATTTGAGTGGGGGAAGAGCACATTCAACGTATCATGAGAGAGATTGGGAGAATGAGGAGCTTTGATCTTTGATGAGTATAAGGGGTTGAGGAGAATAAGTGGAAATTGGGAGATAAAAGATAGCATTTATTGGTAGGCAGGCAGCATGGCGTGGCGTTTTGTTGGCGTTTGTCATGATGGATGATGCTGGTGCGTGCCGGCATACAATGCTTAACAGTGTCAAATAATTTGACATGGATTTATGTCAAATGGTGGAATTTGTTTTTCTGTGCGCTTCTTTGCGAAGAGAAGAGGCAAAGAAGAGGTAGAATGGGGAGGGAATACAATGCAGTGGGACTGAATGAATAGCATATTGTTATATGGTATGATATGAATGGATGCTTTTTTTGTGTTGTACGCAATAGAGATTTGTATTTGCATTGTGTGTAAGAGAGAGGGGAGGAGGGGAGGGGAGAGAAATAGAAAATTTATCAATTCTTTCCAATTCGATTTTTGGCCTCGAGAAACAAAAAACTCATCTGGGGCTGCGGAATTGTTGTGTATTTGTGTGTATGTGTATATGTATATGTGTCACGTTCGGAACCGGAAGGAGGATTTTTATTTGACATGGCATGATATAGGACGGGACTTGGATGGATGGATGCCCGACGGGTAGGGTAGAGTATGTATGTATGTATGTATGTATGTATGTATGTATGTATGTATGTATGTATGAGTGACATTCTTTTTTTCTCCGGGGGTAACCTACGGATTTCGTGGTTGTGGTTGTGGAATTGAGGTTGGGGTTGGGGTCATGTAAAAGGGGGGTATGGAAGGGTGAGGGGGTTGGGAAAATGGTATAAAGAAGGTGGAAAGTGGAAAGTGGAAAGTGGAGAGGAGTGAGGGATAAATGATGGGTGATGGGTTGTTTGTAAACGGTATGATTATATCGATAGGTGCGTGGATGGATCGTAGGTAAATGTTGGGTTTGGCTGTTTGGTGGGTTGGTGGGTTGGTGAGTTGTATGTGTATGTGTATGTGTATGTGTATGTGTAGGTAGTAGATATATAGAAGTAGGATAGAATCTCGCTTGTGTGAGTGATACTTGACTAGTGAGAGGAGATGTGATGATGATGATAATAATAAATGATATTGAAGTTTGTGTGTTTAGTTATATGTTTATATGTTTGTAGGTGTTGGTTAGGTAGATACCTGGATATTGGGTAGATAGGTAAGTGAATATGTGAATAAGGAAGTAGGTATTAGATTGAGATGGGTTTGTAGATCTGAATAGATAGGTAGGTAGGTAGGTAGTTTGTAGCTGGTATAATGAATTGATATTGGGAATCTGGTATCTCGCTAGATACCTACTAGATGTGTAGGTAGTTAGTTGTTTAGACATATTTTGTTTTGGACAAAACTTTAATATGTTATAAATTGATTTCTTTTTTGTTAAATAAAAAAATATTGAAAACAATTCATTCGGAAGGGGGAGAAGGGTAATGTGATCTTCCCAACTCACTCGTAGTCGTGAGCGAGGTTGGGGTAGAGGGAGTGTGACTGACTAGATATGCAACTAATACTTAGTTGGGTTCTTCATGATTAGAGTTGGGCTCAGGGTTTCTTTTTCGTTCGAGATATATATAAGATAAGCTTTGCGGGTGCGTGGGTGCGTAGGTGCTAAAGTGAGTCTTAAAACTTTGGAGAACGTTTTGATGTTTGGATGTTTGGGGATTGGCGTCTAGGTGCTAGATCGACACCTTCTGTTTTGGTAAGGGCTGAAGTATCGAGGGTGGCTAATTTGTCTGTGCGTGGATATATGTAGTTGGTATTAGACGGAAGCTGAATGGGGATGGAGAATGGGGAATCAGAAGGGAAGGGAAGAGGTAGAGGGCTGATGTAGAAGTACTAGGTAGAAAGGGAAGCGAGAGATAGAGAGATGGAAAACTCGGGGAGGATTGAGGAGTGTGAACTGTGGCTGGAGATGGAGGGGGGTTGATTGTTTGTCGAGGGGAGACTTACACTTACATACCTAGTAGGTATCTGAGTATAAATAATTTGAGTGAAGAAGGTGTTGGTTGATATTACCTAGTGTCTATTTACTACACAATATAGATATTCATATGTATAGACTGATATAGAGTTACTCGTATGTATGGAATAATAAATATTCAACAGGTGGGGGATTACTTTTCTCCTTTCTTTTCTTCTCTTTCTTTCCTTTCCTCTTCTTCTTCTTCTTCTTCTTCTTCTTCTCCTTCTTCTCCTTCTTCTTCTTCTCCATATTAGAGTTCTAAATCGACCGTGACCGGCATATCAAAAGACATGATGTAATACCATGGGACCGACAACCCCGTATGCCCTTTTGTCATAGCGATCATATTATATTGAAATCACACATTGTCATAATATCATTGTTGATCGGATGATATCAAGTATATACTTCAACACGTTCAACATGAAGTTGGTATATCATGATATGTATCGTTGGCATGACTGATGATGGATGAAAATGACTATGGGAATTTGAAAAGACGGTCATGAAGAAATCATCGTCTTGATATTGATCAGGAAAAGGTATGGTGAGAGGACTGTTCAAAGGGAGTGCGTGGTCGATGCTGGTCCACCAGATTCTCCCAAGAGAGTCAAAATGGGAATTTGATGTCAAGTATAGTGAGTGACGTTTCTTTTTATTGAAGAGTAAACATTGTTTTGCTCTTTCTTCTCTCCTGTATATGAATGAACGGTGACCTCGAAAGAACAAGGTGATTGGGACAATCAATAATCGAATATCGAATTCAAGAATCAAATTTCCACCTCAATTATTTCAGCTACATATATCTAACAGAGGAAAAACAAAACATTGATCTTTTCACCATCAATTCTTTGTTTGCTATCTATTGATCGAGTACACGGATCTCAAGGTTACATTTCTACACAATATATCAGAGATTCTTACCTCTCATAAGGACAATTGAAATCCACATCCGAATCACCTCAAGTTTTGAAAATATCAAGCCGAAGAGAAGAAAAGTACCTCCTCCAATCCAAATATATACTTCAACCCGAGCACTTGTTCCAATCCGTCGACCTTTCACACCTACATGAAGCTTGCCCAGGATTACAACACAGCACTACAGCATTACAATCATCATATCAAATCACAGAGAGTGCCTACCTGCAAGCCACTGCATCGTACAACACAACATTGATATCTTACGACCAGAGCACCGGAAAGTAACATTGCCAAATCTGAAAAGCGAAGAAGAATTGGTCCATCTAATAACAATCTATCACATTTTCTTCAACTTTCCTCAATCTATATTTTCGAGGTTAAAATTTCTAATATACGAGTAACCTTACCGGCACGAATTCTTCGGGTCTTTTGAATATCTCTCTCTCTCTCTCTCTCTTTCTCTCTCCCTCTCTCCCCCCCCCCCTCCACAACAAAAGAAACCAAAACAACTAAACAACCAAACTCGAATCTTTTCACCTCAAATAATGAACCATGGCACTCAATGTTCAAAGATTCGGAAGTTTTAGAAGTATTCGAAAGAGGTCATCTAATAATACCAAAAACAATATCAATACTAATACTAATACTAATACCGGTACCCCACAAGTTACGACAAATATAACAACCAATAATGAGGGACTACCAGGGCCACCATCAGAGCTAATTGCGATGAGATATGAAGATATGTTCCCTGGAGCAAGGGCACCAATTCCCGTTACTGTTGCACCTCCACTTTCTCCACCTACAGATACGCATCCTGCATTTCGACCACGATCATTACTTAACCAAGGTCATGAACTAGGAGCTTTGAAGAAGGAGGATAATACAAAGAGAGATTCGGGTCTTGCCCCTACTACCAGTACAAGTGCTCGAGATTGTGAAGGTGGTTCTATTAATCGTCACTCTTTTAATACCGTCGACAATGATAATGTCTTGGGAATCAATATAAACTTTGATTCAAAAGTGGCCATGGCAGAACCAAGCAGCACAAGCTCCACTCCACAAGTTCAATTGAGCGATGTGCAATCACCCGCATCACTAAAATCTCCAAGTTTTATGAAAAATGAAAGCTTGGGGTCTTCTGCAGGGTCCCTGAAACGATGGAAAACGAAAAATGGTAATTCCAAAACCCCTACCAATACTGGTAAATCTATAGAGATTTCAGACGAGCAATTTTCACCCATCACCACTCCAATTCCAGGTGAAAGTTTATTAGAAGACGATTTTATGCAATCGATGTCTTTTTCCAAAAGAGGGAGTATCATGTTAGGGGGAAGAAAGCCAATAAATGCTCAAGCGCGCACAAATGCGACGCGAAGGTGGGTGGGATCAAAGCCCCGTAGCGTACCAGCTAATTGTGCTGACGAGAGACATTCATTAGACAACCTAGCTTTTCTATGTTAGCCACAACGTCGCCATCGATCAAAGTATTGTCGGACGATTTGGAAATGGAGTCGCAAAAGGTCAGATCTATGTATGAGTCGGGGTCGGGCTTTGACTGGCGTGATGGGAAAGACGACACAATTGATAATCGTTTAACAGCTGGAGGGGAATCGATACCCGAAAGACCTGTTACGTGAGTGTGGAACTGCTTACTGATGATTGCGCTCTCCACTAATTAATTTTAGGGCAAACAGTTACTTGACTCCCAATGGCATTGGCGTACCACAACGATCCGCGAGCGCATTGTCGAATAGAAGACCTGCCGAGTTAGCTGGAGGCATCGAAGATTGGGAAGACGTGAATGGGAAAGATGTCGATAGATATGGTTTCATTAACAGCGGGAGGACCACCACCAGGCCTGGCACACCAGAACCCAAACCACCACAACGAGTCTCTACTGTACTTCAATTGGCCTCCGAAGCACCACGAAGAAAACGGACATTTGGTCGATCGCCATCTACTGCGAATTCCCAGAAGGGATTCAGGCGTGCGCCTAGTCGAAAGGTTTCTGCGAGATCATTGAAAAGGACACAAGGGGATAATGCGTCAATACGAAGCTCGCGAAGCTCTCAACTTAGACAAGCTGCCAATCGATTGCCAGGAAATAAAGATAGAAGGTGGATGGACGAAGCTGGTGACATGTTGACTCTACCTCCTGGCTTGGCCGATATTGCTGAAGAAGTGGAAGGGGGAAAGGGGCAGAATTAATGAAGAAGAAGGAATCGGAACGAACAGAGAAATGGAGGAGAATGGCTAAGATAATAAAAGGCAAGGATGGAGAAGGGATGGTCTTCGAATTCGACACGAAAAATTCCAAATTAATAGAAAGGACATGGAAAGGGATACCAGATCGTTGGCGTTCTGCGGCATGGTATTCTTTTCTTTCTAGTTCAGCAAAGAAGAGGGAAGATAGCGCGCAAGAGGGAGATATAATCGAAGCTTTCCATAAGCTACAAGATCAAAGTTCGGCAGATGATGTCCAAATCGATGTTGATGTTCCTCGGACGATCAATAGCCACATCATGTTTAGACGAAGATATAGAGGTGGTCAGAGATTACTCTTTAGAGTTCTTCACGCTTTATCACTATACTTTCCTACAACGGGCTATGTTCAGGGCATGGCATCATTGGCAGCTACTCTTCTGTGTTATTTTGACGAAGAGAAATGTTTCGTGATGCTAGTACGCATGTGGACTTTGCGTGGGCTAGAGAAATTATACGAGCCAGGGTTTCCGGGTTTGATGGCTGCTTTAGATGAGTTTGCAACTACGTGGCTAGATAATGGTGAGGTTTCGGCTAAGCTGGTAAGTACTTGATGTCCTACTTCTTACATACAATACTGACTACGATAGAACGAACTTGGCATCGAACCTACAGCATACGGTACTCGATGGTATCTCACTCTCTTCAATTATTCCATTCCTTTCCCAGCTCAACTCCGCGTTTGGGATGTCTTCATGCTTCTTGGAGATGAAGATCAATCATTACCCTACAGCAAAGAAAGACCATTTGCAGGTGGCTTGGACATTATTCATGCTACTAGCGCCGCATTAATCGATGGCACGCGAGATATATTACTCGATAGTGATTTCGAAAGTTCAATGAAAGTCCTCACGAGTTGGATCCCAGTCAAGGATGAGGAATTGTTGATGAAGGTCACGAAAGCAGAGTGGAAATTGCATCGAGGGAAGAAGAGAAGTTGAATTGTGGTTCAAGAATAGAGGAGAAAAGATACCCCGGTCGATTTTGTAAAATCGATATCACATAGTCATACATCTTATCAATGTATGACTGACACGATGAATATTTTCCTTTGTTTTAATGCCTTAATGTTTTGGTGGTATTTTGTCCACTTGTTTGTTTTTGTTTTTGTTTTCTACGGAGTTGTTGCAAGAGCGTTTTTTTACTACTGCATTATACCATACGTGTTTGGGATGGGATTTTATTATAGTTGTTTTAATCTGTTGGCTTCTTCTAAGGAGGAGAGAAAGAGAGGGGGAGATGGTGAGGGTTATTTCTTTATTGTATTTTTATAATCTCGTAGGGGAAGAGGGGTTTCAGGGCAGGATATATGGTCTAATGGCTATAGATATATCTGTTTCTTTCTTTGCCTACAGGAGATTGACTGGCCGGTTGTTAATTGGAATTGGACTGGGAGTTGGATGGATGGATGGTTAAGAGAAGAAGAGAGGGTGATTAATGGATGGAGAGAGGAAGAGAAGGGGTATTGGGGTTCATCGGGTTTTTGTTAGAGGGATGTAATTGTTACTTTGGGATGAAGATGAAGATGAAGGGGGATGATGTATTAGAGTTGAGGTGCGTGGTTCGTGTGATTTGGATTGTGGATTGTGATAGGAGGGAAGGGGGAAGGGGAGATTTGAAAGTGGAGAATGGAGGAGGGGGGAAGATAAGATACAATGGAGAGCTTCAATTGTATTATGTATTGCATCGTATGTCGTGAGATATTATGCGGGAGAGGGAAAGAAGTCTCAAGGAGATAGATAGTATAGTAGATAGTAGATAGAAGAAATTCAAAAGAAAGATATTGAGAGAAGAGAGATTGTTTTGCGTGTGTGCGGCTCTGGGTTGGTTCTTTGGTGAATAAGTAAAGTAGTTGTTATACTATCTTTCTTTTCTTTTGGGGATTTGGGTCGTCTGTGGGTGGGGGGAGGAAAAAGAAGGGAGGAGGAAGGGGAGGAGGGGGAGTTGTATTGTACTGTTTTATCTGGTGATGTTGTATTGTATTGTATTGTCTTGTGTTGTACCATGCGATACTGTGATTGGTGTAAATTTGGTTATGTTATATTGGATTGGATTGGATTGGATTGGACTGGATTGGATCGCAGACTGGAGATCAGATGCTAGATGTAGTATTGAAGAGGGAAGGAAAAGGAAATCAAAGCTAGGAGTTGTAGATTATAGATTGATCCCAAGAGATCTAAGGGTGGGGGAGGGGGTATTTGATGATTGTGGAGTATACATACGTACATACATACATACATGTGTATATCTTGTATAGACAGAGAGGGGGGAGAACTTAAGAGAGACGAGGAATAAAATTGGATGTTTTGTGTACTATGGATACTCAGTAGATAGCAGATAGTATAGATAGTAGATAGATGGAGATGAAAATTGATGTAAGGATGATCCGGGGACGCAAGATATATGTATACCTAGTTCTTATGAAATAAGTGGCTTTCATGGATATATTTTGCCATGTCTTTTGGCTTAAGATTTGGGAGTTTGTGGAGGAATGAAGGATGGGGATGGGAATGGGTGTTGTTGTTGTTGTTGTTGTTACTTGGGGAGGGGTGATTGGAGTTGGGATTAAGAGGAGGGAGACGAGATAGTGAGATCTGAGGAGTTGAAAAGAGGGAGGAGAAGAAGAGGTTGTTTGTTTATTATGGAGAATGTATTATGGAGATTGAGGTTGCGAGGTGATGGTAAGATTCTCTTGTTTGTTTTTTTTTCCTTTTTCATAGTTTCCTATCAGGAGTCTGTGAGAAGGTTTTTGTAATGAGGAAGGATACTTAGGGACTATGGGATTGTCTTTGTTCAAATGGTTAGAGGGAATCAGATTTGATTCGCAGAGCTGCACGTTCGTATGATGTGTATTTCAATAGTGGAGTGGTGAAACATGATTACTAGGTATTTATTCGGGTAGGTGGGTGTATAGTGTTATGTGATATAAGTGTATGAATATAGTGAATGACCTCAATTCAATGGCTACTGTGTTATAGCCCTGAACGAACGCAAAAGGGACTAGCTCTTTTTAGTAGCCCTTATCTTATATAAGGACTACTATTCCCTGTACATAGCTAGCTCTTTAGACAGAATACAATATTGATATTAAGGACCTACAAATCATAGGTGCCACGTCCTTCGTATCCTTCTCAAACCAACAACAAGGTCTATGGTTGAGAATCTTTTAATATTGGGTAGAGAACTCAGAAGGGTTTGAAGGAAGAGGTGCATGAATATCTCGTTTCGTCTACCCTGTTGACAAACGAGGATGATCAAAAAAGGAGTACGGGATGGAAAAGAAAAGAGTACAGGTGATGAGATGATGCATGTAATGTGTTGAGGAATGGATTAGAGGGAATTTATCATCCACCCCATGAATTATGATAGACAATTATAATGTAGAAGTGGAGAAATCTCGATGGAGATCTTGATATAGATTTTGAGATTCTAGATTCTTCAAATGAGAGAAAGGGAGAGAGGAGGAAAGAATCCTCTAGATACTGTGAGAAAATATTTGTACCAACTTCCCGTGAATATTTCCGCATTCTCCTTTTTGTTATTCTCGGAGAACATATTAGGTCTTGTGAATTATGAGAATATTGTGTAGGGATTGAGCTTTACAATATTAACAGGTTGGATACTAAAAACGAATAGGAATATTCATCAGGTCGAATATTCAAAAGCATTCACGAAAGAGCCATATTACTTCAGTTCCCCGAGATCAAAGAGGAATGAACTCTACTGTGCATTGCACACATTGTTCAAAAACCGGTACACTCAGGATTATAAATATAAAGGGGAATGTGAGAAAAGAACTTACGAAAGTTCAAAGATCCTACAAAAGTAGGGCTTCAATAATGGCGGTGCTTGTATACATGATACTTGATAATTTGTCAAGTCGGTATGGGTTTGAGGTCGAATTGTAACTTGGGAGATTCAGACTTTCGGTAGGATGGTTCATGTGAAGTGCATGTTGCTGTCAATGCTGATGTTGAGGAATATTGTCTTGTAATACATGTCCAAGAAATTGTAAAACACACCAGCTGATTCGACAATAATATGAGTTGGTGGGAGTTCAGTGAAACTACACTTCTGCTTACTGATTCTCAATTTTTTCTGTGGTGTTTCCCGCTTGCTTCGCGATTGAGAAATAGTCAGGAACTTTTGTGTATTGATTGTGAATTAGAAACTTGTCCTGTAGTGAAGAGAAGGCGATGAACGGTATCATCATGCGTGAGATTCACGGTCACTGATCGATTATTTTGATTCATTTACGTTTCCCGCAGAGAGAATCTCATACTCATGTATTGCTTATGAATAGGTAGGACATTCCTCATAGGAGATTCTGAGGACTTTGAACGTGTGCATGTATGTATGTACGCACCGCAAGAGCGATCGTATTAGGTATTGAAATCATCACTATATGAATGCAACCAGACTCCCACCATTCGATCAAATCTCGCTGGGAAGAATCGATTATGTATTTGAGGAACATTCATGCTACCTCACCGTCTCCACATTCGAACAAAAGAAACGTAATTTACTCGCCAACATACATGAGTATTCTTCTAGGCGCAATGGGAAATCTAGCTTGGGGAGTTATTTTTGGGCTGCTTGTGTGGAAACATATGCGTAATCTGTCTAAACTTAGCTCATAAATCTCAATGGAAGTCTTTGAATTCTTAGAGATCGTGGAACGAAATGTTACGAATCGACTCGATGTCTATCCAAAATGCCATTCGAGGGTATAATTTTTGGAAAATCATAATTGTAGCAGTTGTATACGTCAAATGTAGGCAACCAGGGCAATTAAGTAAACCTGCACAAGGAAAGGTATGTCATGCTGTTACTGTAGCAGAAGAATAGAAGAAAAGAGGGTTGAAATCTTTTCTTTGTCTGGGGTGAGCATTATGGAGTATGAGGGGACGGGGGGCATGGTGGTGTTTTATTGAATTTTATTGTGATTATTGGTATGATGTGTTTCTGTTGTCCAATGGAGCTCATACTTATATTCTAGTATGCAGAAGAAATCATGGAACAATATCGAGCTGCTTGTGATATTGGCGAGTGAATTCCCACTGTAAAATTATTTTCATGATTGCCATGTGTAGCATTCATGGCACCAGTCGATCAGCTATCGAAAAACGGGGAACTTGGAGATGCACTTCAATATCATGATTTATTGTTTTTAGCAAATGCTCCTCCAATTTTTGAGTACATGGTTGCTGTATAATTCTTGGGCCGGATTGTGGCTAGACTTTTGAATTTGTGTTGTGGATGTACATTGAGGTAGGAGGATGTTGCTGATCTTCCTGTGGAAAGTGGAAATGAAAATGAAATGGAAATGGAAATGGGATTTGAGTGGGTAAAAAGGTGTGTATGAAGTTAGTAGGAATTGAAGGCGATTCGTACGAATGATCCTGTGACAGATGATATCAGATTACTCGTCTCTAGCCCATCAATCCTTTCTGCTCGTAGAATTTGTGCTGAGTGTGGCAGAGAAAATTCAGAGATGGACATTACCCACATGGATTTTGTGCTTGTCGGCAGACTTTTTTTGAGGCAGTAGAAGAGAAAAGCCTTTTGCCCGTCGTTAATCAGCTAGCTAGACTAAAACATGAGGTGAACTAGCAATTTCACTTTCCTCGCCGTCTACAAAACGCTTTGGGATTCAGTGCAGAAAAGCATAATATCTTGAAACGCAAGAAGACTGAACATTTTGAGGACCTCATCTCCGCTAAATATACTATCCATGAGATTCTAGCAGTACCAAAGTCTTTACAAGATGGAGTACTTGTATAGTGATGATGTCAATTATACCGCGCTCGTATTTCAGCTACAATTGAGAACTTTGTTGTGACTGAGCAACAGAAGTGAATGGCCGTAGTTTCAATTGACTTTGTGCTATTTTTCGCCCTAGTTGCAAACTTTTGCCTTTTTTTTCATCAATATGGATACAAGCGCATCAGCGCCAAGACATTATTGGAAAGATGGAGAATATGAATCGAGGCTCGGTTCGAGACAGACAGTACTTACTGTTCTCAAAACATAGACTTCAAAAATTTAGGAGAGGGAGGATGTGGGTACGATTGGAAGTGGCAGACGCAATCTTTTGTGGCTCAGCTATTGAGGCTTTTTGACGTGGAAACTGGTGGCATTAGAATGAATGGCAGTGTCGATCTCAGAGCTATGTAGTCACTGAACCACTAGGCTCCAGGCGTTTTCCGAGCACATGGCTGACTCGTAGCGGCGTCATGGCAGCTTAGGGCACCGGTCACTTGGAAATTTTCCGGGGCAACGTCCGTTCGCACTCTTCCCTAAAGGCTTTCTTGACCGGTATTGAGTGGCGCATAAATAATTTGTGACTAAGATCCGAGGCATCCTTAGACGACGACATCGCTCGTTCTGGAAGCGGTAAGATGATCAAGGCTGAATGTGTATTCTTGAAGTTGTCTGAAGGTATGGTCTCATGTTGGCGCGAAATTGTTTATGAACATTGATGGCTCAACAGGTCTTCGTATTTACTGGGGTTCATCGTGGTTAGCGATAGAGTATTTCTAGACATGTCCGTCTATTAATGTGGAAATATCAGGCCAACAAATCAGCATTTCAATTCCTCAGGCACACGCGCTCTCTTCCTTTTGGCGGTTGGAGGGGTGTCAATTCTCCCAGGTGCCCCATTTTATGTCAATCGAAGCGGGGTTTCCATATGAGGAGATGGACCGGATGAGGCAGAGATTTGGTCGTGGACGTGTATCGTATCAAGATCGCATTGGTCTATAGAAGACGTCTTTAGCCTTTCTGAATTACAGCTAGAGTCCATTTGGTATCTGATCGACCCAGAAACTCCAAAGATGGGTTGTTGATTCGCCACATTTAAAGATCTTCAAACTCAAAGTTAAAACGTTACGAGTACAAGGCGAGAGAATGATCGACACAATGCTATTTGGCGAGGATGCGCAGATTCTTATCGGATGGCCTGTCAAATGATGTCGGTTGTGATAAATCGGGCACGGGCACGGGCTTTCGCCTAGAGTTGCAAACTTGTAGATCTCCGAACACCTTGTTCCCCGTTCCGAATGTGTTTCTTTTGGGCAGTAATAATAAGTATAGAATACCTAGGTATTGAGTAAAAACTTTCTCATTGTGGGTTTTTGTCCCGATTTTTAATATAAAAAGCCAGAGAAATCGTATGATTTAAGAAGATCTACATTGTCTAGAATCGTATGATTCCAACGAGATCTACAACATTTGATTCGAAAAGTAGATATTCTTAATCTAGATCATCTTTCACACGTGACGGAACGGAGTGACAGCATCAAAGAGGTTTGGTCAGAGATAGTTGGTGAAGTCTGTATATCGAACCCCGCTAGAAGACTGCTTAACTGGATGTCGACAGAGGCAAACTTGGTATGATTCGCTCAAGCTTACTTGTAGTCAAGTAGTAAGGGAATTCTACACCTCCGAATTCGGACATTACAGCTTGGACTTTCCGGAACTCAAATCCGAGGACTATGTCAGTGTACAAAGTATTCAAGATCAATGCGATAGCAATGTGTGAGCGTGTAGATGCAATCAAGAGTTCAAAACGAAGAGAAAAAGACCGACAGACCTATTCGTCAACGGCACGGTTTTATACATGAACGGGAAGGCTGAAATTACTTCAATTAGACTGGCACTTTGACCTTTTGGAGGCTCGAGTTCTATGCATAATCGTCCCTTCGCAGTAGCAATCTCATAAGCACAGAAGAAAAAAAGGATAGCAAGGACTAAAAGGAACGAGGAAAGCGTCAACCAGGTTCATGGGATACAAGGTATTGGACGGGTGTTTGAGAACCTCTAATGTCTCAATTTGAAAATCTTCCTAAAACTTGAAGTAATTTGATAGACTCCAAACTTTAATGCTTTGATGACAGAGCTCATTAAAACTCCAACTTGGTTCTGGTTTCGGTAACTTCCGAGGTTTCGGCCATTCATTTTACATATTCGAAATACTTTGGTAATGTTTGAGATTAGCCCCCCAAAATGCGTCATGAGAAGAATATTCTCGAACATTCAATATCGATAGAATGAATTGTTTTATTATACTTGGATGGGATTCAATGTGTTGTAATCGTATGGCTCTGCTCTTTGTTTTCGAGAACGAATCTGTTTTTCCACAACTACACACCGCCTCACCCCTTTTCTATTCATGTCTCTCTTGAACCAACGGTGTAGAAATTAATTTGATTGATTTAATATCAACATATGCACACATGAAAAATCTTGAAGGCAAAGATGTAGACGGCATCACAAAGCTAGTAAGCTAGCCAGTACCTACGTAGCATTTCGGGGATGTTGCATCAAGCTTCAGCACCAAAAATTACCCGACGCCCCTTCATCTCTTACGAAGTTGGCAGGCGCCAAGCCACGGCACCCGTGATCTTCTAAAATTTAATGATGCTTTGAGATGCTGTCCGTTCGGAGAAATTGATTGCATCGAGGAGATTCGGGTTGGTTACTGTATTTCGCAATTATTTTGTTCTACAATAGAGGAATAAGCATGCAATCATATGCAACAATCCCACGCGCTGTTGTTTCCCTGCCAATGATGATTACTATTAGAAACAAAAAAGGAAACAATAGAAGCCTAAAAATCCCTACTTCATGTAACCAGCTGAATCTAACGCCGACCTCGGGAGCTCAACCGTGCCTATTAAGGAAGATTCGACAGGAATTTACCAGGTACCAGGTATCCAGACATACTAGAATGGAAAACAAATCTTGAAATCAAGTAACACGAGCATCGAAGCTTTGATACTCACCAATCTTTTGCTATGTGTTGACGCGGTATCCCCCAACTAACAAGCTCTGACCATTTCACTATAAGGAGATTGCCAATCAATGGAGACTCAAGAGCCTACAGTTCTGGCATATCACAAACAAAACATAACAGTGCATTGTCGGAAAATAAGAATTCTCCATATTTTGGTAATTAGAAGTCTCTTCTCTGATGTCCAACTACTAACCTAACATGGCTTATAGCTCCTAACTCCTAATCAAGTATTAAGTGACAAGCTCTAGACAAAGTTGGTAAATACCGAGGTAATAAGGTTTCGCCTACTACAGTAGTTAATCTCTTCACAAATCCTGAAATGAGCACAAGTGACAAAATGATATTCCATCGCCATCATCATTATCAGGTCAGATTTGATTATCTGGGAGATGAAGTGGTCCTTTCATAACAGAGCTTAGCGAAAATTTGATGCTTATTTGAAGCGAGACCCTATTTGGTTGGTCCAGACCCGGCCCGGTCGAATTTGATGATCTGCCTTGTGTTTCAAAGAGACAGGATTTAACGACCACCGATGAACGATCAATACAGATCTTTCAAGACAACCAATCAAAGCCTGATTATGAGGGACCCTAAAGCTGCAAACCATACAAGGTAAGAGATTGATGTGGAAGCTAAGTCAGTCTCGCAATTGTATCGAGTATGGGGCGACCTGACATATGAGCACTAAAAGATTTAGACCAACCAACTACGTTTTGAAATGCCAGTGATGTGAAGAACCTTCATCCTGGATATGATCGCGCACTCCAAATGGATGACAGGCCATGCACCTCCCACCTCCCACAACCCTTTATCCCTGCAAACTTTGAGGTAGGTGATCGCGCTTTGAGTAGCCCCTCCTTCAACCAGCGAACACGCAGCCTAGTCATACGCATACCGTATTGGGTGAGTGGGTGATCACTCTAAACTGTGAGGAAATTTCCTCCTTACCAACTTTTAACTTACATATATCTGTAATGCTGTGATTACTCAATTCCCTCATCAGGAACACATTCCCTCGAGCACCCGAAATGGGCTCTGACCATTTAAGACCCTAGCCTTGGCAGGCATAAGCTTCCATTGATGCATTCGACTGCTTCTTCTGTGGCCCTATGGACAACCTTCCCAGTCCATTTAGATACTCCGCTACTTCGTCTCCACCCCAATCTCAGCCCCAGGCCTCGGGATCCAGAACCTAGCTGGTAATCGACCATTGGCGCATTACACTTTGTATTCCAAGATGCCTTGGTGAACTAGCAATACAAGCACCTTCCTCTCACACGCACATCTTTATGGTCTACCACTGCCATTTCGGATAAGGCATCATTCCATCCGCATCATTAAAAAGATCGGGAGCTTGCTCATTTAGTACATATAAGAGCCTTGTTATTACCCTTTACAGACATGGAAAGTCAAAACAGTAAACTCGAAAAGCGAGGTTTCCACTTGCCCCACCATCCTCGTTGTTTGTAATATCGGACCTCGACCTACCCCTGCGTATTTTTCATTCCGCACTATACAAACAATCTCGAGCTCAACGGCAATTTCACTTGCCTATTCCAAGGTTGTTATCACTATCCGTACCGAGCGTTTAGTGGGATCATTCTTCAACGCTTGCCTCTCCGCTCCGTTCTTCTGGCTCACAACCAGTCGATCTTGTACTTCTTTTTGACAAGCACACGACTTTTGTGTACACACCAATTTTTTCCCTGACGATCGTCCCTGCAGTCAAAGAACCTTTCTGTCAATTTCAAGATCTAGAGTCAATACTCGTAGCCCTGTGATTCGCGAACCCAGATTAAGCTCCACAGTCCCACAGATTACTAGCATCCCGAATCCCGGATTCACCTGGAGTACTTGATACTCACGGCTGAACCTAGACATTCAATTACAACGTACGAGTTGACAATTATGGGTGAGAAGTGTGGGGGGTGATTCTGGTTCTACATAAAAGTTCGACTGGTCCATTTGCCAGCATCTGCCTATTTGCACCTCGCCGTTATCACTTTAAAGGTGCTTTTTCTTTCACACACATTTTTATTCCCTTCTTTTGGCTTCAGTGAATGCCTACTTCCCGACATGTTACTCACGATTAAACAGCCAGTCCATCACGGCTACAAGTCTTTTCATGATTATTCTCCACCAACACCACCATCTAGCTCTCGTTTCCCCCCGGCGGTGACAACTACTAGCTCTTCAGTCTCTTTACCAACACCATCACAATCTCTTCCTTCTTTAGCACTTACGAAATCAACAAACATGTCCACTCCTCATCGTGGATTACCCCCCATGACACTACCACAACCACCACAACCCCCGCAACAAGCAGTCCAGGCATTGAATCAGCCAACGGGCCCTTTACAGTTACCAGCTCCACCTCAACAATGGCAAGGCGCCGAAGAGTCAATGAGGAATTGGCTTCAAGCAAAGGCCGAAGAGGACAAACGGAAGCAAGAGGAAGAGAAAACGAGGCAAGAATCATTGAGGTTGGAGCAAAGGAAAATCGAGCAAGACATGCTACGAACGTCCCTGACGGGAGGAATTCCCCCGTACATGATTCCCATGGTGTTTGCTGGAATGGGTGGTGGAAATTTACCTAACGCTAGCTTAGAATGGGCCCAACACTACATGGCTCAAGCACATCAATTGCAACAGCATCAAGTCCAGCAACTAGTGCCTGGGCAAAGTCAGCATACTTCACCAGAACAATTGCAGCGTAGAGACTCTCGGCCGGTGTTTGGAAGTCAACATCCAGTCCCTGTCACTTTACCCTCAACACCTATAGGACCTACGGGCCCAGGATTCCTTCCCAATTATCAAATGTCCCCAGCCTCAAGATCTAGACAGACTGCAGGATCCCTAGCTAGAGCGACTGCAAATTCTCAACTTCCAAGATTGAATACAGGAGAAATGCTCATCCAGCCACCTCCAGCAGCTTCTAATATGCAAATGTTACCAGGTCAATCTGGTCATCCATTAGCACAATCGCAAAGCGCCCAGCAGCAACAAGAGCCTCAATCTTCGCCCTCAATCTACTTCCATCATTGGCAACCACCCACATCACAAGCAGGTACGAGCAGCACCCATCAGCCTCCGACACCCTCAGGCAAGCTTTTATAGATCTTCTTTTATTCAGCGTACTAATTATTTGACTAGACCATGTTTCTTCACCAAAGAAACGAAAAGCGACAGGGCCGCAACAACCAGCCCCGCATCCAACATCACTGCCACAATATACTTCCCCTTCGTTCTCACAGACAGGATCTTCGGTGTCGGGTACGCCATCAAGTAGACGCCGTGGGCATTCAAGGAACCGCAGTGACGTTTCAGCCCGTGGAGCTGATTCATACGGCCGCCCTTCCAGTCGCCATAGACACACTGAAAGTGGTTTCAGTACTCAAAGCCTAACTTCACCAGTTCACCCACAGAACCAAGAGCAAGCTTCAAGGCCTGCAGAGCCACGCAGGCATTCAGGTGGCTCGAATACTGTGTCATCTTTGCTCGAACAAAGCGACTCTAGACCACGCGCGCACTCTCAAACCCAAAGCCAACAAAGCCAGTCTCAGCGAGACCGAGAACGTCACTACTCTGGAATTTCGGAGATTGGACGCGAAGAAAGGACCATAGAGGGGGACGAGGCACGACGTTCTGGCAAGCGAAACGATGGAAGAAATTAAACACGTTTCAGAGACCTGCCGATCATTTACTTAGACGGAAATACTATTCGCCAACGAATTTCCCCAAAGCCACAAGATTTTATAACTTTTTCGATTCATCCATCATCGAATATGCTTTGTCCATATACAGATGTTCAATTTTCTTCTATTCTTCGCTTCGATATTGATTGTTTAGAAGATACCCATTACTTTGCGCGCCTTTCAACTTTGACTTTTACTTTACACTTTACTTTCTGCGCACCGAACTCTTTCCTAGAGCATTTTCTACATTCTGTATATCACTTTTATTACCTGTTGACAGGGAATTCAATTCTTGTATCATTGATCTCTTCTAGTCTTCTTTTTTATCTTTAAACTTTTTGTTCTGTGCCTCAGCAGCACTGTTTCCCTTCAATCCCGGCACTGGAATTCACAGGGCTGGTTCAGAATTACATGTACATACTTATTTCTATTCTTAATCTTGTGGTGGATGTATATCCCAATTTGGGGAGGTATATATAAAGGTTTAGGTCTCGAGTCGGGAGATTGAGATGCGTGGGAATTCAATCATAGGTAGTCAGGTGCCAAAGAAGGACCTACGGGGTCGGCCTGCACATTGTGTCAAGAAGGCAAATCACCCCAGATGAGAAATCAAATTCAAATAAGCAATTTCTCAAGAATCCTTCGTTCCAAGTTTCCCAATTCAAGTGTTCAGGCGTCAAGAATCGTGCCAAGTGCGTCATGGAGCCTAATGAAGGCAGGAAAAACTTACTTCTTCCTCAGTCAGCCACTTCAACCAAAAACGCGTATTTTCATCCTGGTCTGGACCTGGAAGAGGAAATGGTCGTTAATACCCATGTTTAATAAGAGCCGCAAGTATGAAATCGCAGGCTGGAGACAAGCAGTTGAGAAATAACGAATATAATTATGCGTGTTTCAGCGCGCAGGAAACCGAACCGTGGTCAGCGCGGAAATGGTAAGCAGGGATTCGCACGGCTTATATATTAACCTTTGTTGAGCTAAAGTGTATGTAATTACAATCTTCACATAGTTGGAGAGCAACATGGTTGTGCAGCAATTTTTACATCAATGGGCGCGTAGAGATATCTTTCGGTATCATGCGTACAGGAAAAAGGAAAAAGGAAGGCTACAGGCCAGGTACAGTGCATATTCTAACGTATTAAGCTTCACACGAGTTAAAATCGATACAGAGTATTGCAACTCATCCTATTGCTTTCTCATTACCTAGCGATGAATTAGAAGAGGGGTAGGACGATAAGAACGGAACTTTGCCAAGCTTGCAATCTGCCAATCTTCGACCACGGTCTCGACCTGCACTGTCAGATTCAAAGGCCTCCTGGCTCGAATTAGCCTTATTAACAGGGTTCCGCAATTTCGTGCATCGTGGAACGCTCACATTCGGGATGCTACCATGGATGTATCATATCCTCATCAGGAAATCCGCTCCAAAGTCGATCTGTCAACGTGTTTTGCTACAGTATGAACACCACGGTGGTGCAAGAGCATGGATCTCTCGTCTTTTCCTCATGGCTACTCAAGGATCTATACATTGTTACTTATGCTCTTTTCATATTGACGGGAAACTTTCTTTCTTCATCACATATTACCAGCCGTGTTATATTCAATCTATATAATTTTAAAAAGGTAAGCAAAGCACTATAACAGAGAACCTAATTGGAGAATAAACATCCTAATTAGTACAAGGTCTTGTAGCATATAGATTGAAATTTACATAACTTCAAGCCACAAGCTACCCAAACGATTTCCTATAACCAATTCCAGGCATTCCTCAAAAATCATGAAATCAAAATAAGATCGCTTTTATCGCTCTTTACCCCCTTTTAGGTCTGGCGCTGCTCGAACGGAGATGATCCGAGAGATTGGGCAATGGACGTGTTCGGCAGGGCTGCAGATCCTTGTCTGGCACAAGGTTTGTTAGATTAGATTGTGAGAGATTACCCGATTTGTGCGTGGGGTCTAGTGGAGATCGTGTTTCGAATTAAGTGATGGTTCATCTCAAAGCGGTAAATTGTGATGAATTCATATCGTTGTTTAATATGTTTTTTGATTACATTTTGTGAATAACTGCAGGTACGGTTTGGAAAAGGAAATTTGATCGTGTATGCGAATGCTATTGGATTGCACATGAGCAAGGAAATCTAGAGATGAAATGAGGTGATAGAACTTTGAAAGGGATTTCAACCACATGTGGATTTAAGTAGGTATGGGACGATGCATTCTGGAACGGGATAGTATCAAGATATTTCGGCCATTTCGGTAACACTCGAAACGGGAAATAGCTGCCTACATGTCGGGACGAGAGACAATTCATGGCGATCCAATCTTACCCGTTACAAAAGCATTGTCCATAGGCAGTTGAGATACATGATACAGATTGCAGGTATGTTAAGCCTACAATTTGACCTACGTCTGACCCGAAAATTTGAGATAGCTATTGATAGGATAGGCACGTTGCAATTACAATATCTAAAAGTTCTTGTCGGTGTTCATCCGACAACATGTCCATGTTACCCTTCCATCATCAACTTCTTTATGTACTCCCAGTACTACTTACTGCAGGTTCAATCCCGAACGGCGACGTGCCTTTCTTCGGTGACAATCTCCCGACGGAAAAATGACACGAATCTTCAAACTTCCGTTTCGTATGTACACAACATGAGACTTGTACATCGTAGCTCGCAGCATGAAAACACCATGCAAAACACTGGTATTCCAAAGCGTCAGATTTGTACCACAGCATTGATGTCTTCCAAGAACGGTAGGTCATGGGGAATAGATTTTCTGCTCAATTAAGCGAGGCCCCTTTCACTTCGCCCAACATCACATAGTCTTCACCTGTCAAAATAAATCTTGAGCTCAAAACATTCTGATTCTATTCGGAAGGTTCAAATGACGAATGTGTCAGAAATAAGACCTCAGTCTCGAACGATCTCCTCGAATTACTAGATTGGAAACTTCCGCTCATCAAACATACTTTTTTAAATCTTCTAGAACCCCAAATCTTCTATCTCAAACTTTCTTCTCCACAGACGCGCGCCTTGTACCACAAAGCTTCAAAATACCCATGAGATCAGATCTACGCCAAGCCATCACATATAGGGTAGAAAAATATGTCTCTCAATCTCTCCGAAAACTCTACGTATACCGGTAGATGAGTAAGTCATCAAACAAGGCTGATTTGCCCTTCTTGTCTCAAATTCTCATTGAGATTTGAATGTGTGTAGATCAGTGGATCTGATTTGGAGGTGTAAGCGTTTCATATTTACGAAACGTCGTAAGTACCGAGACGACGACTCCACATTGTAGGGAAACGATGTAAATCAGTGGGTCGCGAACACGAACTGGTGAGTCTAGATTTTGGTCCCTTGATTTTTTGGGATGAGAGAGGCGGAGAAATTATTTTGTGATAGCGTGGAAAGGGAGATGTTAAGTTGATTTATCTATTGTAGATACGAGATAGAACATTCTGTAGGCAAATTGCTGGTGAACTTCCCTTGCGGAATGAACAATTGTGACACATTTGGCATGAGTTCATTTGAAAACCCCACTTTCGATATCATTCAGTCTAGAGGGGGTTATCTGTGAATCTGACTTTGTGTATCATGTGTGAAATTTGGCTCGAGAACAAATATGGCCGGCTCTATCTCTGCTTAATCACGCTGTGTGATTAGTATCTTATCTGCGAATGGTACGAGTATACTGTGCTTAATTTCGTATGATAAATGGAAGTTCAATTCAAGTTCCGGCAATAAATAAATACTCGGGGAGAGACAAATACAACTGTGCAAATCTGAGCATTAAATGAATGCGAGGAAGTCGGCCTGGCTTCCAACTGCTGAATATCAAGGGATACCGAGAGAGACGAGTCTATCACAATCAAAAAAGATCTTCAGTCATAAGCTGTGCCGCTCAATTTTGTATCATGTATCCACTTACAAACGGATCAAAGCATAACTCACTTAAATCTCAGCGTGAAGCCTACACTGATTTATACGAGGTTTGCATGTATCTTGTAGATACTTCGTCCTTAATACCACAAGATATTACTTTTAACGCTATGATAATTGATTTTCAGCAAATTCTATATCCCAGCCATAGTTCTTCCTGCTTGTTTCTGAAAAGGAGCAATGATGTATTTTCCCCTTGAAACTCAGTGTAGTTGCTGAGACTCCCAAGCATCCACCCACAAACAACCTCTACACCAACTCGTCTTCACGCATCCCAATACTTTTCATACCTGTCCAGTCATCTTCTACTCCTGCTCCTGCTTGGCTGGCTTATAAAGAACGACTATTTTTGTCCCATTTTCCAACTCCTCGATACCCTCTTCAAGCGTACGTCCACCCTGAATCTTATATCTGAAAATCGTATCTCCTCTTGTCGATTTCGAAATATATGGTTTCTTTTGTCTTTTGGAATCTGCGCTGGTTTGGTGTTTTGTTGATGTAGTAGGCTGTTGTGTCGTCTCATTTGCGGTGAAGTGAGACGGACTTGGGACATGATAATTGTTCAGTTGGTATAATCGCCAAAGGAAATTCGGAGGATTTGAAAGGCAGTTTTGCGATAAGATGGTGAAGATTATGATTTTGCGAATAGATTGTTATGATTTTTAAATGTAAGTTGTGATTTAAGAGTGTTTTTTCTGACATGCAGATAATAGAACAACCTTTCAAAATGAAGATTTTGTGGTTCTTGATGGTATCGATATCGGTACAGAGGAGGGCTTGATTCCATTTTGTTCATTTGCCATCATAGAGATGATTGTTCTTACTGATTGATATATGTGTGACTTGGCTGAAAGAAATATTTGAAGAGTCATGCTTGTGAATCATGAGGCATGAGTGAAGATAAACTCCAAATGTATGTTTGGTCAAATTTTGCCAATTCACTATCTGTAGTGTACATATTACCCATGTTCACAATCAAGTAGATGTTTGAATTTTCAAACTATTGTGATACAAGTTCCTTCCTTCGTTGCTTTTACAGTCTCTTCATCTATAGTCCCATCAAGATAGCAATCCCCAATAAACCTATACAGCCGAGCATTACTACTTTCACTGTCAGCTTTTCTCAATACGAAAGGCGAGTTGAAATTCTTCAAGACCCAGACCTGATCGCCAGTCTTTACCTGCGGGTGACAAAGGCCCATCTTTCCGTTTTTCGTGACGTAGAAACAACGGCCCGTACTGGATATCTCAAATGCCCCTCTGTATTCTTCTTGTAAAGTCCACACATCTCGGCCCAAAAATTGGCTCCATTCTTCCATACTAGGAAGATCGTTTGTCTTGATTTGTATCTATCCATGGTGACGTCCATACAGAGACACCCCGTCAGCTATCTTCGAAGCACATGTGACACGGGATAGAACCATGCGAACAGAAGCCTCTCTACAGGTTCCTACTATTTTTTCGCATAAATTTTTCCAATTCATTACTATATCCTTCAGCGCCTCCGCCGAAATATTGACAGTCGGCAATAAGGAACCTACGGTCGAAATTGTGTCTACCCACTGTCCTGATACTGAGAGTTCTGGTCCGTGAATTTGAAGTCCTCCAATATTTTACCTGAAGCCTCACACAGCGTAAATGATGAGATTCTTCGGATCACAGCTTCGACCTCCACGAACGGTGTGGTAACTGAAAAATCAGGAACCCATGAAGGGAGGTTCGAATGATCCGAACCAAACGCAGGTCCTATCATGCATCGATAATCATTACCAGCCTCTTGCAGCATCAGTTTGAACACTTCTGTGTATATATCGATCAATCTGGCGCTGTAATTTGGCCGATACAATTTCATAATCAATGACTGAACCATAGCAAGAACCGAGAATATTCTATCCCGCGGCTCCATGCAAACTCGATTTGAGAATGTCAGAACAATTTCGTAGAAAGGGCAATGTGTTAATTCTGGAAACGCTCATATTGTGTCCTGAAAATGGAGAGAGTGATCTTGCAACGAATAATCTTGCCTAAACCTTTCAATGAATTCAATCTGCCAGAAAACTTGGTCGAGAGCTGTGATTTTGATCTGGGAAATGCCCCAAGACTGTTCTTTCAGCATTGAGTTTCATTGAAATTTTGACATTTACGGGTTCTTCGAGCCGAGATTATCGTGTCAAAACTCGACCACCAATTCCCGTAGCACAAAACAGTATCGGGAGATAAAACCGCCCTTGAACAGTCCATACATGTGTGAACCAGGTGCTATTGGCTACCAGCAGAAATCTGTCCCAGAGATCGTTGAATTTACTGTTCTCTCCAAAACAAATCCGTCCAGAGTTTGCTTTGTAGTACCCAGCTAACTCATGATAGTGCTTGTTATCTGAAAAGTGTTTAACCAATTGAAATGTATTCCCTGTGGTATGGATATGATTGGGTGGCGCTCCAAGCCATATGTAAACAAGTGAGCATCTCGAATATATTTGCTATTTGACTAGCTTTCTCATCCGGATTATTTTGGTCTACGCATAGAGCATCAATCGAAAGAACCAACGTGTGGTGCGGCTTTCTGATGTGCCGAAGGCTAGTAAGTAAGCTCGTATGGATAGAAATTTCGTTCTCATCAACCTTGATTTGTTCCGTGGAAATCTCCGTACCCCAGACATAGGACAAGCAGATGTAACCATTGGCGGCTGCACTGTCCATGTTCTCGACATGAATCGTCGCACAAAGTTGTTGGGTTCCAGTTCCAGATTTCAAATGAAATAGTCTAAACTTTGGTTTGGTTGAACTTGTGTGGTCTTTGCGTGTAGTTGAGTTTTCCATGGCTCGGTCGTCTTCCGGAGACGTTGGAATGATGTCGATGATTTTTAGAATATCAAGGAGATGAGCAAAAGTAATGCTGCAGATTGTTTCCCAAAGAATAAAGATTTGATGAGAATATGACAGATGCTTTAGTATGGACGTTTGATTGCTTCTAGATTTTCTCCGAAAGATCAATTTGGGAACGTGGTATTTCAGTTCGTTCAGAAATTCGCAAGGAAATCTATGTACCAATGTCTAAGAAAGGCAAAATTTCCATACGGATTCTTGCTCTCGCAAGCCCATGATGAGCCGGAATTATGAAGGCATTGATTCATTCATGATGCCTTATGGCTGTGTTTCATGACGCCTCAATATAAGCCAACTTGCCGAGTTGAAATTTTGATTGAATCTTTATTATGGCTTGAAGAATTCTGTACGATTGAACCTTCATTGAAAGTCAGTCATTTTTACAGTCATCTCACATTAGATTTATCGTATCCAGTTTCGAGTCATCTCGTAAAGCGACACCTGACTCTACATATTACCTGTATTATCTTATCTTGCGTCCATCGCGACCAGGAAACATTATACCAGCATACATACGCCCGCATGCCAGAATCATGTCGTTAAGTCCTAAAGCCAGCTAATGGCTACCAAAGCGAGAACTATGGCCTTGGGACATCAGGATGGCGCAACAAATGACGTTCATAGGAGATCTTGACATGTTGTGTCTGGCTGCATTCTACTGCCACTTCAACAACCTTTGCCTCAAGCCTCTGGGGAAGACTTGCCGATCACCAATTTCAATCTCCAGGATCTCGAAAGTCAAGTCATTTTCATTGGTTCCTGTGAAAGTCTCTTCACAAACAGGAAGTTTTGGAGTGGAGAATACCGTTGTTGTTGTTGCACTACGTCGTGTTCTTGTATGAGCATCGGAGCCTCTTTTCAGATGATGAAGTACATCATAGCACTTGCAAGATGTCTCGTGAAATAAAACACTCTGACTATTGAGTTTTCTATCTCGTCGTCGTAGTACAGATCCCACTTCTCTTGTGGTCACTCCATGCTAGTCTATATAAGGCTTAGCTCATTTGCCCCGCTTTTACAAACGTCAACGGACTGACAAACTTACAAACCCCGAACTTTGAGCTTTCATCGTCAAATTGTATGCTCAAATATCCCTCAATGACCATAAGGCGACTTTGATACAAAGTAAAGAGTTGGAATGCCTCCAGAGTATACAAGTATATCGACACCGAGGAAAGTTTGTGATCATTGTCGAAGAAGAAGTAAGTCTTTTGCAGATACCCCACACTTTTTGGTGCAGTAAAGGAGTTCCGAGCATTGACCAATCAAAGGAATACGATGTGATGGGAATTTCCCATGTAACCAATGCGGGAATGCATCACTAGCATGCAAAAGAGAGCACATACCGAAGAGAAGGGGACCCAAACGTGGAAATGGTAGAGTGATCAATGAATTGAGAGCTCAAGATGGTGGGAATATCAAAAACTTTGCGGAAGTCCGTGACTCGGGCTCGGGTGGAAGCAGTACCGGACCAGGCTCGTGAGTAATTTCAAATAGCCTTAGAGCAAATTCTATTGTCTCAGGTTGGGAAGAATTGTTAAGCTCGAGAAGGTATTGAGGGGACGTTTGGGAATGGTCCAATTTCAAGTATCTTTACGTGGATTGTGACGCGTGGGAAATTTCTCTCTTTACCATCTCGTTGGCAATTGTCCACCAGCTGATATGTGCTATAGAGTGGATATCGATCATTGGGTTTCGAATACTGCTAGCTCTTCTGCCGCTCAAACATATGTGGAAAGACCTGCACGTCATCCAATAATGTCGGACATCTCGACCATTTCCAGGGATGAGCCAAATAGTATGTTTACGACCGATCAATTTAGGCCCACATGTGTCAGCTACATGTATCTAATCCCGACATGCCTTGATCTTTTTCTTGAGCACATTTACCCGATTATGCCTCTAGTGCATATGCCCACTTTACGAGCCTCAATAAATCGGCCATTGGAAATGCACGAGAAAAACCTTCTTTACTCGTTATGTGCCATCACTTCAACCCATATGTCGGGTAAAAGTATATTAGCTCCAGGACCTCCTTCTTGGGAAATTGCTGGAAGATTCTTCCTTGACGAGTGTATTATGGTTCGACAGGCTTATGACTTCATCGAAGATAAATCATTGTCTGCTGTTATATCTTCATATTTCGTATCGACTGCATTTTTCGAGCTGAATCAGTCTAGAAAATCTTGGTACTATTTGAGAGAAGCAATGACAATGGCTCAAGATATAGGGTTGCATGAAGAGCATAAATATTCCGGTCTTCACCCTGCTGAAGAACTGTGTCGTAGACGAACCTTTTGGATTCTATATGTTACAGAAAGGTAAGTCCACTCCGTCCAAGGATGTGAGGTTCTAACATGGCCTAAGGTCTTTTGCGATTCTACGTCACAAGCCTCTTACCTTTTCGAAGACACCAGCTCTGCCCTCAACTCTACACGATTATGAAAGCCCAGAAATTCATTCTGGGTTTATGCACCTAGTACAATCTTACCATCTGCTAGACTCTAGCTTTGTAGATTCTTGGAACGAAGCCTCTGATGCACCAGTTTCGACTCTTACGTATACAGCGCTTCAACAACAATTAAATCTTCCTCATCCTTCTCACTTGTCCCTTACTAACATACAGAAAGCTGATATTCTCGTTACCCAGCAATGGCTTCGCTTGATTGTTTGGCAATCTTCAATGCGTCAAGGCTTGCTCTCTTCCACTGCCGTCGATGAAAGCATGACTTTTCGATATCCTCTAAACATCGCTCACTCTCTCCTAAGCGTCATATCCTCAGTACCAATTGCAAGTATAGAAGTCCATGGAATGGGTATTTTCGAGAAGATTTTCGAGATTGGGAACTCTATGGTAGACGTTATGCAAGCTTATGGATCACAAATTCCACACGAAATATATGGCATTTGTCAAGACCCATTTGATATGTTCGTGAGGACATTGAGCCAGACACCGAATTCTCAACGTCAATATGCAGCTCTTCTGCTCGCCAAAGTAACCGAAAAGCCGGAAATCCAGAGATTTTCTCATAATTTGACGAAAGTACTATCCATAAATACCGTTCCTGATGCGATTGAATCGAATGCAAACTTGGTGCCACATATACGCGAACCACAGTGGAGTGGAAGTATCGTGGGAGAACTTAAATCTGATGATGATACGGTGCACAGGGTAGAGAAAGAATGCCACGGACAAACAGACAGCAGTCCGATAAATGGCATGGCGTTGTCAACAATTCAATCCGGCAACATAGGAGTCAGGGGAAGCGAAGCATTCATGCTGCAGGCTCCTAAGTAATTCTCAAAGATACGCTCACTACTTGCACGAGCAGATCTATCGTTGGAAATCTTCACCAAAGCTTTGATGCATCGATAGTAACCTTTCTATTATTACATTGCCCTTTCTAGGGTAGCAAAAACAATTTTTGCCTCGGAAGGTAACGGAAAAGTATGCGGAACCGACGAATCATCAGCAATCTTGAGAGTAAGCTGAATTCTCTAGGATCACTTCCAGAAATATTGACTTCGATCTTTCGGCTGCGAAGGACGATTCGACATGTTTGATCATCTGGGCCTTGAGTTTGGGCATCGAAAGGGTGGATTGCACGAATATAGGTTACGTCAAGCTTCGATGGCACGAGAACAGTTTATGTTGAGGGCGAAAATGCCATCGTCACAGCCGTGTTCAAATCGTGCTTGTTGGGTTAGCAATATAAATTCCTATTTCCAGCAGACGGACAAAATAATCAAACACTAACACTCGGATACATGCAACCCGAAATCATCGAGATCCCCTTTTGCACGAGAAGTGAATGATGATTTGGAAATGGAATATTAGATGGGAATACAAATGAGAGACATTGAAACATTGGCACATCGCACGTTCCAATACCCCGGCAAGACAACGTTAGAAATGTGTCACGACGGTTGTATTCCGCCTACCGACAGTGTACCACAATTTTCTGTGTTACGTGATGTTATTTAGGTGAAACAAATATGTTGTTTTTCACTCGTCATGCGAGAAGCTTGCGCCATAGCTCGAGGCAAACTTCAGGTGTAACATCACGTTACTACCTACTTTCATTATTATGGGTTCCCAAACATTTCAAACTCTACATCGATATCCGTATAATTTTGCTCGTGGTCTTCTTAATTCATGCACCCCCTCTGCACTGGTGGAGGTTTGGTGTGGCATCAATTGTGACTATGAGGTCATTATCGCGAATCATCTCTATAGCTAGAGCTTTGGTACGATGTTTTTTCAAGCGGATAGATATCTTTCCGATTTTCTCGGATTTAGCGAAGGATAAGGCTGGCCCGACGGTGAGGTAACATAATGGCGAGAAGTATCTTTATCAAACCTACACTCTGGGGTGACAAACTAATCGTTTGGCTGATTGAGTGACGCAAGTAGGTTTCCACATGTCAATTTATCGGTGAATTTCGATTGTGAAGGTCCTAGAGAGTAGGGAATAGCAATTTATCTACCCATTATTGTCGTCAATTGAAGTGATTGCGGCAGTATAAGATCCCTCTTCCTCTCCCCTATTTTCTACTATCAAACATAAACCTCTCTTCCCTTGAATAATCATATATACACCTTCTTACACACACAAAATGGTATCTAACATCACGTTCCTAGCATTCATTGCTTTATCTATACTACCATTACAAATAATCGCATTCCCTGCTAAAGTTTTCGAGGCAAGTGCTATGAACTCCAAAATAGCTTCACTAGCCAAAGCTGCATATGAAGAAAGACGTGCAAAACGTAGCTCACCTGGGTTCAATGCTGCTGCTCAAATTATAAATGTGTCCGGGGAGCATGCGTTTGTACCTCCCGGCCCCAAAGATATGGTGTGTTCAATCCTTCAGACCTACGCATTTTTTGTGCTATAGTGAGTCAATAGTATCGATTCTAATGCTCTCGTTAGCGAGGTCCTTGCCCAGGCTTGAACGCGTTGGCTAACCATGGCTTTATACCTCACAATGGATTCGCTACCATTTCTCAAATAATAAATGCCAATGAAGAAGTATTTGGAATGGTAAGGATTACAATTTCATGAACTGCAGATTGATACTAAAAATTCCTAAGGGAGCAGATCTGGCTATATTCCTCACTGTCTACGGCCTTGTCATGGACGGCAACCCCCTCTCTCTTAATCCAGGTTGGAGCATTGGTGCAAGTCCCACTCAAGGACAAAATATTCTCGACAACCTCTTCGGTCTACTAGGTGCCCCTCAAGGCCTAATCGGCTCGCACAATAAATATGAAGGCGATACTTCACCCACTCGCGGAGATCTTTTTGTTTACGGCAACGCCTGGGTCCTTCAAATGTCTCATTTTCAAGAACTGTTCAATCTGCAACCAGATAAAGATACCGCGAATTACGATATTGGTATCATGTCGCAGCTTCGCCAAATCACCTTCGAGAGAAGCGTCCGCACAAATCCGTATTTCTTTTATGGTCCTTTTGTGGGCATGGCAGTCAGTAATGCGGCGCAGAGTTTCATTTTCAGATTCATGGCAAATCATACTGCGGAGCATCCTGAAGGGATATTAGATCAGTTCAACCTGAAGAGTTTCTTTGGCGTCACTGGAGAGATTGGAAATTTCGAAAAGAAAGATGGATGGGAACGTATTCCACCCGGTTGGGGACGACGAGCTATTGGTGATGAATACGGTATCCTAAGCTTGACAGAAGATATAATATATTTGTATGTCCCCCTCCCCTCTCTTTCCCCCTCTTACTCCCCCACCACCAAGAAACATAATTAACCCTCCCTCCCCCAAAGCACATCCGAATACCCCAACACCCTCACCGTCGGCGGCAACACCGGCACCGTCAACTCCTTCACCGGCGTCGATTTCTCCGATCTCACCGGCGGCGTCTACAACCTCGAATCTCTCTTCGAAGGCAACAATCTCGCCTGCTTCCTTCTCCAAAACGCACAATTGACCGCGCCGGATTTTCTGAAAAACGTCTTTAGCGATATCACCGAACCGTTGGGTATCTTGTCGTCGACTACGCAGGGCATTTTGGGCTCGATTGGAGGGTGTCCGCAATT